AAGGAACGATCACACTTACCTTGGATCTCTTTGGTTTTTCTATTCTTTATTTTAACAGTTTTTATTAAATGTAATTAGTTATTTTCAGAAATTTTCAGTTTGCAGGTAAGCACTTAGATTTTAATATTGAAGTTTCATGATTTGCTTTCATAGTAATTGTTGTTCCAAAGTATTTGTTGACTTCTTAAGGACCCGATTACTGACATGGCAGAACCACCTTCCAAAAAACTTTGTATTTTGTCAAGGAAAAAGATATTAAGAGATTCTCAAAGAAGAAGAAGGGCCCTAGAAACGTCTGTGGAATGTCAAAGAAGGATGGAACATGACCGAATTTCGAAAAGCAATTCTAGAGACCAAGAAGCATCAGAGAAACGTCAAAGAAGATTAGAAGAGGATCGTGTCTCAACTAGCAGTGTTAGGGCCTGAGAAACACCTGAGGAACGTCAAAGAATATTAGAGGAGGTTCGTGTCTCAATTAGCAGTGCTAGGGTCTGAGAAACGTCAAAGAAGATTGGAAGAGGATCGTGTCTCTACTAACAGTGCTAGGGCCCAAGAAACATAGCGTGGCGGACAGCTGGCCGCCTTAGGCGGCTAGTTAAAAATATTTCGCATATTGAAAAAATTGAAATTGAATTATATCGATAGAATACAGTTGAATTATGTCTCTAGTCTACTGAGAAAAAAAACAAATTACACATTTCGTTTTTTACTAATTTTTTGTTGCATTGAAAAAGGCGTTGAGTTTTATGTTATAAAATTCATTTATAGTGGAAGCTGTTAATTTGAGCAATGTGAGTTGATCTTCTATCTAAGTTAATTATAATTATGAAATACCAAACTGGTTAAAACAATTGAATTAACTCTTTATAAATTGACCACTTGCCTAAGAGAACCATCAAATTGTTGTCTCATAAGCGGCTAACTTACACAGGTTTCCTTGCAAGATAAAATTACCAAAGCAACAAATCATTCATATACTCGTAGCATTCTAAATTTAACAAAAATTGGCTGGTGAGAAAGTTATTGGAAACTAAGATATCACATCGCATATTATAAAAGTTGTATCTTAATCTTAAACAAAAGAAAAAGTTAAATGGAACAAGTTAAAATGATTAACGACTACATAATTGCTATATATCGCCTTGTTTCTTAAGTTCTTTAGAGTTAAAAAGAAAATAGAAAAAGAAATTTTGTATTGTAGTAAAATAATGTAGAACAGATCGTGCGTAAAACATTAACAATTAAACAATCATCATGGAAAAAAAACTAATTTTCCTGAATAACTTTCGATCTAATGACCGGATCTACACGTTCTAAGACTCAATTGTAATGGTTCGAGCGGGAAATCTCAAATATATTAATAAACTAGTGCAAACAATATTTTAAGATACGAAATCATACACAAAAACGTTCTTTCTGTGAAAAAAAAAAACATGTTTTTTTTTTCAATGGATTTGGATTTCTGATTTTCAAAATGTAGGGGTAGTCAC